CGCCAAGACAAGGATTTATTATGGAATTATACTGGGAAGTATTCAACTGATATATTCAAAGATGAGGCACTAAGAATTATTAATGAACACAACAAGTCACAGGTGAGGCACTAAGAATTATTAAATTATTAATGAACACAAGTCACAGGTGATGCACTAAGAATTATTAATGAACACAACAAGTCACAGGTGAGGCACTAAGAATTATTAATGAACACAAGTCACAGGTGAGGCACTAAGAATTATTAATAAACACAAGTCACAGGTGAGGCACTAAGAATTATTAATGAACAAGTCACAGGTGAGGCAATACAAACTGTTACCCAGCACTATGTAAACATTAAGAGTATAAACCCAAGGAAGAACTGAGCAGTACAAAATTGTTGATGGACACAACTGATGTGTAAGGCATTAAAACTGACATGTAACAACATTCCATATAATTCAAAAAAATTTGTCAGTTTAGTAATAAATAAATGGCAGGTTCTGTAATCTAACATATAAAACACAATGTAAGGTGTATGTGTATATGTTCTTTGTAGAAATTGACACTGTTAGACCAATGTTGATTAAGCTTGAGATCATTGCAGTGACTGTAAGATATATTAAGACTCTCTGTTTCCCAACTTTTTAGTACCCACCTAATGAGTAACTTTCCTAAAACTTAATCCTAACTTTATGTTTCTGTTCTTTTCAACAGCCATTGTTTCTGTATTTACCTTTCCAATCAGTACACAGTGGCAATGGAGACAGCACCCACCTTCAGGCACCAAAGAGATACATTGACAAGTTTCAGTATATAGAGAATGGTCAAAGGAGAATATATGCTGGTAATTCTGGATTTTAAATTACTAACAATCACTGAGCTTCAAACTCTTGTCAAATATTAACTGTTTCTAAGTCTTTTGACTGTCATGTTTGTAGTTGAAACATTAAATATAATTAATTACTCATGCAAATTTATTCTAAATAATGTAACTCCACAATTTTCATAAAGTCTGTAAAATTTGTTTAAAAAACTTTTTTGTTATAAACGTTTTTTTAAATGAGTAAAACTTTAGCTCTTTTTTCATCTGCTCCTTTTTCATCTGCTCCCATGTTATTCCAGTATCCTCAGCTTCACTCATGGCTGAACACTTCCAGTATCCTCAGCTTCTCTCATGGCTGAACACTTCCAGTATCCTCAGCTCCACTCATGGCTGAACACTTCCAGTATCCTCAGCTTCACTCATGGCTGAACACTTCCAGTATCCTCAGCTTCACTCATGGCTGAACACTTCCAGTATCCTCAGCTTTACTCCTGGCTGACCACTTCCAGTATCCTCAGCTTCACTCCTGGCTGAACACTTCCAGTATCCTCAGCTTCACTCATGGCTGAACACTTCCAGTATCCTCAGCTTCACTCATGGCTGAACACTTTCAGTATCCTCAGCTTCACTCATGGCTGAACACTTCCAGTATCCTCAGCTTCACTCATGGCTGAACACTTCCAGTATCCTCAGCTTCACTCATGGCTGAACACTTCCAGTATCCTCAGCTGCACTCATGGCTGAACACTTCCAGTATCCTCAGCTTCACTCATGGCTGAACACTTCCAGTATCCTCAGCTTCACTCATGGCTGAACACTTCCAGTATCCTCAGCTTCACTCCTGGCTGAACACTTCCAGTATCCTCAGCTTCACTCCTGGCTGAACACTTCCAGTATCCTCAGCTTTTCTCCTGGCTGACCACTTCCAGTATCCTCAGCTTTTCTCCTGGCTGACCACTTCCAGTATCCTCAGCTTTTCTCCTGGCTGACCACTTCCAGTATCCTCAGCTTTTCTCCTGGCTGACCACTTCCAGTATCCTCAGCTTCACTCATGGCTGACCACTTGGTTTTCACAGGGTGTGTCTTATCCACTTTCTCTTTTTGCTATCTTGGGCTATGGGATTTTGCCTGGTTCTCTCCCACAAGTTGACAGTTGTTATCTTTACAGGCCATCTAATTCCCAATATCCAGTGTAGGCAACTGCTAGTCAAGGTCTTGAGTTTTTCCATATTTGTTCTCATGACGCTCTATTTCTCTGAAGTGTACTAGAGAACTGACTTAAGGTTTGTGATATAGATTCTTTAAAGACAATGCTTTAACTAGTAATTTGTATGCTACTTTCTTTTGTTTCAGTTTAATACAAGGTTATCTTTAATTCTAATCTTGAGTTTTTGTTGTTCTCAGCTTTCAACATTAATGTTTTGCAAAAAAAAAATTTCAACTTTTTGATTTTGTGTTGTTTTTTAACAAGATTGTTCATTTCTCCAGCAATGTTGTCTGCTCTGGATGATGCAGTGGGTGAAATCTATGATGCTCTCAAAAACAGTGGATTACTTGACAATTCCATTATTGTTTTTTCTACAGATAATGGAGGGCCAGCCAATGGTTTTGATTTTAATGCTGCTAATAATTATCCACTTAGGTAATGTCTTTGTCTATGTTGACATTCTAAGTTTCATTGATACAAATATAGAGAAAATAAATATAAGAGTTCAGGTTTCTGGCATGTAGATGCTAAGTAGGGCATGTCTAGGGAAGGGAGTACCTGGGAAAGGTTTCTGTCCAGCTTTTAGGCTTGTGAACAATTTAGCTTAAGTTATTTCCAAATTAGATTTTTTTCCATCCTCTGGATTGTACTAGAGGCCCTGAGATGAATGAATTACACTTTCTGCTGACATGACACTTTATTTCTAACCCCCTTCCCCAGTATTTTGCACTATGATGCTTAATAAATTTTGATTATATTTTTAGCATTTCATGAAGCCTTTGTAACAAAAAATATTGGGTAGATTTTTAATAGACATTTTTGACAATAATTAATAAGGATAATTTTATATTTTGTTATGGTTAAAGCTGTGTATTCATGTTTTGTTATAGCTAAAGCTGTGTATGCATGTTTTGTTTTGTTTAATGCTGTGTTCAAATGTTTTCCTATTTAGAGGAGTGAAGGCTACTCTCTGGGAAGGGGGCATGAGAGGTGTTGGACTTGTCCACAGTCCACTCTTACAGAAACAAGGCTATGTGTCAGAGCAAATGTTCCATGTTTGTGATTGGTTGCCAACTTTCTACAAGGCTGCCGGTGGGGATCCATCAAATTTGAAAAACTTGGATGGATTCAACTCTTGGGAAATGTTGAACACCAATGGAAATCCAATACGCAGCAAGATGTTGCATAACATTGACCCGCTTGATAAATCAGCAGCTATTAGAGTTGGAGATTACAAACTTTTGGTTGGCAATGTCATGTCAGGATGGGATGGCTGGTACCCTCCTTATCAGCTTTATGATGACCAGAAATTTCTTCATTATACCAGCTATACAGACAAAACCTTTCAGTCTTCTGGTATGCTCATGTTACGTGACAAACTTCAAAAGCAATATTCTGAATTCTGGCCAAAACAAGTGACTTCACGTTTGGAAGAGCTGTACACATTTTATCAGAAAAGTGATATTTATTCCAAGTTTAGGCCCAATCTGGGAAAAAATGAAACCAGTCTTTTGTTCTCACCACAAAAATCTGGCAATACATTTTCGGGAACACCAGTGACCTTGAACTGTGGCCCTAAACCTTCTAATGCAAGTGACAATTGCAAGCCAAATGTGACCCCATGTTTGTATCACATTCCTTCAGATCCTTGTGAATACAACAATTTGGCTTTCTCCAAACCTGACATTGTAAGTATTTCACTATGCTATTTTATTTAGTTTTTAGAAGAAGTTAATACATTTTTTAGAAGTGGTTAGCTCTAGCAGCTTAATACATTCTTTGGAAGTGGTTAGCACTCAGAGCTGTATACATTCTTTAGAAGTGGTTAGCATTCAGAGCTATAAAAATTCTTTAGAAGTGGTTAGCACTCAAAGCTAGATATATTCTTTAGAGTACTGCTATAGCAGAACCAGATTAATGCCTGATGTATACAATTTATTTTGTGATTATTTCATCCATGTCTTTGTTCTCTTATCAACAATCCTGTTTCTTGTCTCAGGTAACTGAGTTACTAAATGAGCTCAAGGCATACAGTGACACCATGGTGCCACCTGGGAACAAACCTTATGATGATGCAGGTAACCCAACAAGACATGGCGGAGCTTGGATTCCTTGGCAACAGTAACTCCATTACATTGTTTTTTAACAGCACAAAGTATAAAACCTTTCTAAAGAAGAGAACACAATATGAATTTTTGGTACATCATTGATTTCTTTGTTAAATAAATGCTGATAGATTTAGTAAACAGACAATAGCATAATGTTATAAACAAACCTAAAACATCATCACCCAGTAAATAATAATGCTATTGCATTTTTTTTTGTTTCAAAAGTTATGTTTGTATACCACATATTTGTGCTATAACATGCTCAATGTGCTAAGGTCCAATCTCTTTTTAAAGTCCGGGGGGGGGGGGGGGGAGGGGTCATCTTGGTGGGTTCTTTGCTTCCATTAGCTGTTCAACAAATGATACTCGACTCAATCCAGGATTCAAACTAAGTCTCCTTAATAGGTTTATGCCAGTCAACCATACCTCCTACACTTTAGTGGAAGAAAGAAATTCTAAAGTTTTGTGTCAACATTTTTTGTTCATTTTTTGGCAGTAAAACATGTAACTTGAAACTTTTGTTTTCTTTTATTTATTTCTAAAAATCATTCATGAATTTTTCTTGAAACAACATTTTTTTCATGGGAAAATTGTCTTGCCTCTTTTTAAAATTTCTTTGTTTGATTTTTTGTTTGTTTGTTTTTTTAATTTTAAAAATTTCATGACCTTGGTAACTTTTACATTCCCAGGTTTTCATTTTTACATTCCAAAATAAAAATAGTATTTATTCAATTTACAAACATCAATGTCCTAACATTGAAGTATTGACAGTAAAGTGTATAATATTTAACATGTACAGTATAATGTATTTTCTTTATACTTTGTATATAAAGTATTATATTATAATTATTTAATGAACATGACATTTTTTTTTTATTTGAACATATTTTTTGCCATTTTTTTTTTATTTGAACATATTTTTTGCCATTTTTTTTTTATTTGAACATATTTTTTGCCATTTTATTTAATTTATTTTTAAAAATAATTCTGGCTTTTCAAATTAATATTTTACACTTTTCATTTGTTAAATTTTAAAGTGACATGGTTTCATTATTAGACTGTAGCTCACAAAATAATGCATAGCTAAACTAAGTCTTACCTAGGTATAAATAATATGGAAAGGAGGAAGTAATTATTTTTCGCTATGTAATTTTTTATTTTTTTTAAAAATAAAATGTACAAAATAGTCATTTTTTGGCTTCTAATCACTTTAAATGTTTTTTTAAAAATGTTTTTTTTTTTTTTAAACTAAACTTTAACTTGCAGAAGAACTATCCACTTTATAGACTTTAGACTTACATATACTTCCTCTAAGTGTACAAGATCAAATTCAAGATATTTTATTAAAGAAAAAAATTCACCATTATCTCTGCAGCTTTTACTGTCATAATCACATTTGCAGACGGTTTTATCTCTTCTCTAACAGTTGTCTCTACTTGCTGATCATATGAAATTAGCTCCCTTGTTTGTATTGACTTTTCAGTTTATTGACATAGTTTGTCATAGAACAAATTATTTACACTGTTGAGGGTTTCTTTAGAATCATTGTACTTCAACACAAACCTTTTGTGGGCTACTCAATGTCTCTTTAAAAGTGAAATGCTATACTACATGAATCCATTGTTTACAATCTGACAAATAAAGATTGAGTCATTTTTTACACTGTGTTGGTCATGGACCTTTGTAAATAGTTCAACGTTTGTTGGCGGACATCCTTCGTTGGGAGCATAGCTCTACTGCTAATGTAGACTGAGTGTAATATATAGAGTATAGTATTTTATTACATTTGGATAACATCACACAAGGAAATGCCTCTGTTGTCTTTGTTTTTGTTCTGATGTCATAATGTATCTTCAATGTCTGTTGTCATTGTTTTGTCCTGATGACATAATGTACCAAAACAAATATTATTTTACAAAAGAAACTGTGTCCCAGTATTACAAAGCTTATATCAACTGGTCAAAAGTTTGTACACATTATTTCTTGACACCCAATCTCTCGGATGATGTTGAAATTTCGCTTCAATTATTTCTTTGAACGGTCAACACAAGAATCAATAAAAGAAAAAAAAATTAGGTAAATATTGATTTTTTTTTAATAAATATTTTGAGCAAGGGAAAGAAATTGTACTCGACTGAGGCGGTGGTATTAGTGGTATTAAAGGTCGCTGTTTATAAGTAAGTTATCTTATATACAACTTCCTAGCAGAGTGGTGAGAAGGTCGGTTTGTGGTCGCTTGAGTCACGAGTTTTCGAATTATAAATGCTTTTAAAAAAATGATTACGGTAAAACTCAAACCATATTTATTTCTCCCCCCCCTCCCAGACAAGTGATAGGATCACGTGACGTCTTGAGAAATCTAATAGCACGAGAACGTGGTAAAGAAAAACAATTGGTCAAACTATTTCTAATAACCGCGCACAGATTTGATTGTTGCTGGTCTAGACCTATCCCAATTTGAATGACTGATCCAAACGAATGGATACTGTTACACTTCGTAGAAACGTTGCTTTTGTTTTGAATACAATGTCTGAAGTTTTGTCTTCCCTTCGATTTTCAAGACCAGTGTGAAAAAACGAGCGATACCTAGACTGCAACACGCGTATGAAAAACAAGCCTACGGTCGTATCTGTAGCTTGTTGTTTTGACAGAGTCGTTGACCTGGTAATAGTGGAAAAACATTTGTTGCAGCAGTTGAGCTGGGCCCACGATTGGCCTGATTGTGCAGGCTTTTCATTCCTGGGCAATTAGCAGCACGAGGTATTCTTGTACTTCAAACTTTATGAGTCAACTCTATTTTATATACCCCGCACACACACACACACAGAGATGTCATTCGTTTGTAAAGACGTGTATAAACAAAGTCAAGTTCCTCAGACCTTGTGCTCTATAGGGCAGATGATGTAAAGGTCATCTGTTTCTGTGGTCCACGGTTCACTAAGGTGTCATGTGACCAACACAACGACCAACCGCCTTTATTTTTCCCAAACTAATGTCAGGTACCCAATAGAGCTGGGTGGACTCAGAGGCGCCCGAATATCCCGAAATAAAAAATCCCAGTCTTCACCAGGATTCGAACTCCGGTTCGGAAGCCAAGCGCTTTACCGTTGAGCCGCCGCGCCTCCAAAGACGTGTATACCCCGCTATTATTACTTCTAGGGCCCTTTGACTCATCTCTTGAAACTCCCAACACCCACAAATCTGAGGCGAGTGTTTGGCTTGTCAGGACTGCATTTCTTGAGGAAGCTTCTGAAAGTATCTTTATATTTCATGTATTAAGTCTCGTGACCTATAGATGGCTAGCTACGACAGGGGAACGTTACTTGATGAAGTGAACGGAAGTACGTCAACGGTAGGCTCATTTTGGCCAGTTTTCTTGGGGATGAATAAGTCTGCATCAGAATAATGAAGACGTGCAGGTGATATGAAACGAATACAACTTTCATCTTTAGGGGCGCCTGTTTGACATCAGAAGCTCTCTCGCGATAGCAATGTGATTTGGCTTTGTTCATTCACAAGATTCATTCTACTTACTACTCCCTTTTAGTGCTGTGTCTAGGACCATTTGGTCGTCTTATATGATCGATACGATTTCTATTGTTTTCTACACTGGTTAGTAAGTAGCACATTGAACAACAGGCTGCCGAGGACTGACTCTTTCATTTACTTCTTTGGTTCTTCCTTCGATGTTGTTTCCTCATCAACGGAAACTTTACTGTTCCAAGCGCCGCTTTGTGATTCTTTTATATATGTTGGCACTAAACACTTTTCTAATGATGACGAAGCTGATCAGATTGAAGAGATTATACGCGCTAAAACATTTACAATTGCACAAAACAATTGAGTCATCAGACATGGGCGTAGCCAGGTAGGGGGCTTCTTGGGGTTCAACCCCCCCCCCCCCCCCGGCCAAAATGAAATCCCCCCCCCCCCCCAGGGGGAGGGATCGGAATTTAGTGACTGATTTTTTGCTTTGATTTTGTTTATTTTAGGTGAGATTTTAATACTAAACCAGCACAGCCAAGGGAGTTTTCAGTTTTAAACCCCCTACCAGATGTTTTGAGTTTAAAACCCCCTACATGGGGGGGGGGGGCTGTTTAAAACCCCCTACCAGAGGGGTTCGAGTTAAAAAAAACCTACCAGGGGGTTTTGAGTTTAAAACCCCCTACCAGGGGTTTTTGCAGTTAAATCCGCCTCTTCTATAAAACAAAACAAAAAAATGCAAACGACAATCCCCTAATGCCAAGAGCACAGTTAAGAAAGATTTTCATTTTAAAACCCTCTCCAAAATTACGATAAACCCCCTCTTCAATATAAAAAAAGCATATTACACACTTGAAATTCTATGAGCGTAGCCAAAGAGGTTTTGAGTTTACCTCCCCGCCCCCCTTAAGTAGGGTTTAAAGCTAAAAAATACCTCTTCAATACGCGGTATAAAAAAAAAAAGCAAATTACGCACTCAAAATGTTATGAGTGTAGCTAAATGGGTTTTGACTCAGTTTTGAGTTTAAACACCTCTTCAGCGGGGTTTGAAGGTAAAAAATACCTCTTAAATATTAAAAACAAAGCAAATTAAACACTCAAAATGTTGTGAGTGTAGTCAAAGGGGTTTTGAGTTTAAACCCCCCGCAAGCGGGGTTTGAAGCTAAAAAATGCATCTTCAATGTAAGAAAAAAGCAAATTACACACTCAAAATGCTATGAGCGTTGCCAAAAGGGATTTTGAGTATAAACTCCCCATCAGAGGAGTTTGTTGCTAAAAAATACCTCTTCAATATAAAAAAAAAAAAAAGCAAATTACACACTTAAATTATTTCAGCGTAGCCAAGCCAATTGGGGGTTTTGAGTTTAAATCCCTCGCCTACAGATGGCTTTTTTTAAAAGTCTAAAACCCCTTCAGATGGTTTTGAGTTTAAAATCCCCTTACAGAGCGTTTTGAAGTGGAAAATCTCTATCTTCAATATTATTCTAAAGCAAAGTATAGTTACCGAATTCTATAACCCTAGCTAAATGGGATTTTGAATTTAAAAAAAACAAAAAAAAAACTCTAGAGATTTTTTTAGTTTAAACCCCCCAGCAGGTTTTTTTGACGATAAAACTTCCCTTTTCGATATAAATATATTAAGCAAACTACAGTCACTTAATTCCAAGAGCGTATTCAAGAGAGGTTACACATTTCTACCAGTGGCGGGGCCCCATTAATAAAATGCAAGGAATAGTCATCTGCCAAAATTGAAAATCACTAAATGTGGCTCAACAAAGATAGATAAGATAGCTCTGAGGAGTCAGTTATAGAGATCGGGTCTAAATCAAGGAAATCCTATGCCGAACTAGGAGTTGACACTTTAGTAAGATTGTGACAGAGCGTTGCATGATATTTGCGGGACTTGTTCTCCGACAAAATGAATTACGCATAAGAGTTGCGATGACACCCTAGTACAACTTGTCGCCACACATTCATGGAGGTCTTTAGAGCAAGTGGTAAAAGGCTTCAGACATTATCAGTGACAGATTTTTGTGGAAACAGCTTGCCGCCAACTGTTCAGAACGGCGCGGGAGGGCCTAAGTCAGTAAGAATAGCAGATTAGGTTTTTGAAATAAAACTTTTTAATAGCAGGAAAATGCACTGTAGATACCTCAGAATATGCACTTTGTTGGCTTTCAATACCAGAAATAGTGCTTGGCTTCACCCCGTGCTGGGGGGAGCTCTTAGCGCTCCCCCAGACCCTCTTGCTGGCAATGGCGGGGAGTCTACATTTTTTCCACTAACTCATGGAAGAACCTATTCTAGGGCACAATAAACGTCTTCTGAAAGAATGATGGATCAGAATGTAATAAAGATTATGTACACACACACACACATATATACATATAACAAAAAAAAATCCCCCCCCCGAAAAAAAAAATCCTGGCTACGCCCATGTCATCTGAATGTATCGGTACCAAGAGACATTCCAATATAAGTAGCGTACCTTTTTTTTTAAATAAGTAATAATGTCTTTACATTTGATTCAGTGATAGTGTGTTGAAATTCAATGTTTGCACAACTTCACAGAATTATACGACTTAAATGTGTTTCAAATGAACAACATATGTTTTATAGGTTCTATAGGGATAGGCCTGATAGTCACGAATAAAAAAAAAATTCTATTCAACTTTCTCAAGGTTCTGTTTCTTTTATGACATTTACATCCCCAGCCCCTTAGATCGCAAGATAAACACTTTCATTTACTTCACCCATTGTGAGAAGGCT